CTGACTTGGTGTAGAAACAGAACACACTCTGGACACATCACATCCATCCCTCCAGAAGTTTCAAGGGGAAGTGTGGTGGTGCAGCTAAATTGGGCTGTAGCTTTCAGTTAGAGAGTTAAAACCTCTGATGTTGTGGAAGGACTCCACCAGGACTGCAAATGACACCCTGTCTGAACAAGCCATTGCTTGTAGATGGAAGGAAGTTCCATGGCACCCCTTCCCCAGAGGCAACATTTCTGTATACTGGCTTAGTTACCACCTGCATATCTTTCTTCTTCTCTTGGCATTAAGAACATTAAGAATCTTTAAATCTGTCTATTCAGAACTAGAGGAAGGATTAGTGAGTACTTTCCCCTTTTCCTGAGAGAAAACAGTCCTAAGTTTTTCACATCAAAACCAGAAGTTTCAAATTAACTAGATTCTAGAAGATCAAGCTAAGCAGGACTTAAAAACCTGGAAGACAATAGATAGCCACTTAAATGAGAGCTGGCAGCCCCCTGGTGCCATGGCAAGCTCTCTGCGAGGAGAACAGCTGGAGCAGTGTGGGTATTAACTTTCTCTTTTCCTCCTCCCTCCAGCATGCAGATACTGTGGGGCGCTGTGGGACCAGTATAAACTTTGTTCGAGCCAGCACTGCCGGCAGCTTGTCCTGACATGTCCAAGTTGTTGCAACAAAGGTCTTACAGCTTGCTGTCCTGTTTGTCAAGAGAAGGAGCTCAAGGTGATTTCAAGGGCTTCAGGACAGACACTTAAGGAGGAATGTGAATGCACAAGGAGACGTCCAAGGGTACCTATTGAACGTGTTTCACAAAGGATGCTGGACACAGGAAAAGATTAAGCTGTTTCCCTGGCTGATCTGACGCGTGCTAATGTGAAGGGCTTCTATAACCAGATCCCTATCTGTTAATCAGTTAGGTTTGGGAATCATGAAAATATGTTGGCTTGGAAAGTCTTGTTCATATGCTGCCTTTAAACCTAGAGTATGCCCTGAAAACCATCCATTACTTGCCTGTATATTACCAGAGTGCCCAACACGTCACCAGCACTACAGGATTCCTCTCCCTGGGGACAGTCTCGTAGTGTGGCCTTTACCATGGGGATTTTGGAGCAGAGTATCTGCAGTATGACAGAGCTGCTCACAATTCAAAAGAAACTTAAAGGACATAAGAACAATTCTGTTCTTTTCTTCCTGCATGGATATCAATCTGTCTGACCTCTCCAATGATCATGCATTTGCTCCAACAGCTGGTGTTAGGGTGTGCAAACAGCAGATTTGGTGTGGGTATATGACTAGATTACAGCTGAAGATATTTTCCATGTGCATGCCACCTCCTGCATCTCTTACTTTAGACCAGTGAGAAGCAAGGGGTAGTTACCTGAAGTCGCTGACTTAACTCTTGTGTAAAACTGGCTGAAGGCAGTATAAGGACCCTCCTCTTGTAACTGGAGCAAAGGCCCAGAGATAGTCTGCCCAGCAATACTTGTGTGATCTGTAGGATGAACAGCAAAAACCATCCTCATTCCAATGCTCAGTCTCCCTGGGAACTGTTGTTTCCTTCAACTTGTCAGTATATGAAATATCCAGGGCTCGGCTCTGCTTGCACTGAAAAAAACCTGACAGCTTGAAGCACTTTGAAACAAGCACACAAAAAGGGAAGCACAGAGACTGTCAAAATACTGGCATTATGGCACTGGAAGTGATGCATGTGGACATAAATGTCAGCAACAGCTATAAGGAGGTTGTAAGATCCCTTATCCAAGTTAAATAATTGAAGATCTAGGGAGCAATTGTGCTTTTTAAACATGGGTTGAGTTTTTTAAAAGCTGCAACATATTTATGCAATTTCCAGCACCTGTTAGTGGAGAAATTGTCTTTGAATTTGAAGGAACCTACAGCAGATGAGCTCAAAATACTTTCCCACATGCTGCTTTGTGTGCCTGATGCTGTACAATGTACAGAAAGGATTTATTAATAGTGTAGATGTGTCTTGACTGAAAAATGTCTTTGAAACGCGCTGTCATTCTGGGAACTAAACAGCAGTTAGTCATTTGGGGTTTTTGAACTGGCAACTGCTTTTAAAAGCAAGAAAACAGTTCACAGTTCTGCAGTTGCTTAATAGCAGTTAGGGCTATGTTATTTTCATACAGATTGTAACTTTCTCCCACGGTGCTATTAATTCAGTAAGGCCTCAAGTTGGCTTGACTAGCAACTTAGATACATGGACATTGGTTCCATTAAAGCCATGGCAAGCATTTCTTCTTGCTTCCAGTATTGCCATGGTGAGATAATGGTTCAGCAACTGTCTTTTTGACAATTCCATTAAGGAGGCCAAACTTTGAATCTTACGAATATTTCCTTTGAGAATCTTTCTAGGATAGCGTTTAATAGTAAATCTGAAAACTCCCAGCAGTAGACACCTTCAGCAGAAGTCTAAGCAGTACCAATGTTTCCCTGACATCTTGCCTCCCAGTCTTTGCTGGCCGGTTAACCTCTGTGGTTTTGAGGACTGGAGTATTTGTGGAGAAGCATGCAAGCTGTACTTGCAGGTCTGGTGTAGAGCACTGATGGGGAGTGTTCCAGCTTGCATGGTATGCTCTTCTGGTGTTAGGCTAAACAGAAACACAGTTTTGTAATTCAGTCTGTCAGCAGGTCTGGGACACTGTAATCAGTTTATAAGGCTGTTTCAATATCACCAGTACAGAATGGCAACAACTAGATTTTTATATGTAAACTTTTGAAGCATCCATGATGATAAATAACCTTTAATGCTTCCAATAGAATTTTTTTAAGTACTGCACAAATACACTTCACCTGTTGTGTTGGATGTGCTTGATTCTGCCAAGGTAAATGCTGAAGCCGAGCCACATGGTAGACCCGGCTACAAGGTAAAATTCTCCTGAGAGCTCCTGGCAGCTGGAGATTCTACCTCAAAGGCAGAGGTGAGCCATGAGGCCTCTTCTGGTCCTTGCCGCCCTAAGGCAAGGAAGGAGAAGGGTTTGAGATGTGCAGATGGAGTCCCATAAAGTCACGTTCCCTCTGCTGCAGAGAGCAAAGAGAGGGGTAAGAGGCATCCATAGCCTCCTTCTTGCAAGTTAGCCCATAAGCAGCTCTGTATCCTGTTTTCTGGATTAGTTTTGTTGGATTAATACAAGTAAGGACTTGCCATGTGAAATGCTTTGTGGTAGGATCCAGGCATCTCAGTGGTGATGCCTGAGAGAAAGCACATTAGCTCCAGGAGAGGGAAGACTTTTCAGCAAGACTGGCTGTTGACTGCCAGGTGCTGCAGTCACAAAATGGCTTTTTTCCCCCCTTTTCCTGGAGAGCTGCTGGGACAAATAGTGATGCATTTGCTCCTAAATACTACCATTTTGTGTCTCCCTTGCTGCACAGCTTAATGCCTTTCACCACAAGGCCTGATGCCTCAGCACTGTCTGTCTCTGCTGCACAGCGCTCGGCTGTCGGATGCGTCTTGCAGCAAAAAGGCTCTGTGAGGATCAGCTGAGGAACCTGGAATGATCCTGCCAGCTTTATATACTTTTGGGCTGCATGGATGCTGCTATAGTGAAACACAGGACAAAGTTCCTGTCCTTTTTTTTCCTTTTCTTTCCTTTTTTAAGGGCTGGGTTTTATTTTTCCACGTAGGAAAAGATGCTGCAGTAGTATCTATGGTAGTGCTCCCTATTCTGCAGGTGCATCTCCTTGCATGTCTGGGTTTCTTAGCACCATCAGGAATTTCCAGGATAAGATGCATCTATGTTCTTCTGAAGCTGAGCCTGCAAATTTGCAAATTTGAGTGGATGGCTTAGCTGAAACTGTGTGGTTCTGATTTGATGATTTAGTTGGCCATTTTGAAGTCTTTGCAGCGCACATGGAAGAAAGTGGCTGTCTGCCAGTTTCTTCATTTTAGTATGTTTTCAAGTGTTTTTCTTCTGTAGTCTCTTCCTTTTCTGATACAGAACTTGCACAGTGGGGGAAAGAAGCTGTAGTGAAGCATTTTATATCACACCACTGGCACATTTATTAAGATTTGAATAGTGTTTCTCTGCTTTGCTGGTCAGAGCTAAACTGTCGGTGGTGTTTGCGCACAAGCTCTGAAGAAGTCTGTGGGACTTTTGCCAGTATATGTGTAAAAGGCTGAAAAACTTCACTCTTAACGGATGTTTAAAGGGAGATTTCTATCAAGAGAGAACATTTTCTGAGACGTGTCATCTGACCAAGATTAAGGCTTCAGTACAGCAGCACTTCTTCCAGGAAACTCTTCTTAGCAAGCAGGATCCCACTCACATTAACAGTGGGAGTTTTGGATGTCATAGTGCTGGGTCCAGTCCACTGCATGTCTAGGAGCTACACAGGCCTGTGGGGAATTCCTCCCAGGCTGGATGACTGGTGTAGGCTGAAAAAAGTGGTCAGACCATGCACAGTGCAAGTTCAGAGTTGTGGTATTTCACTTCACAGCCTTTCTAGGGCACAACATTTATTCTTGCATTTATGTGGACATAAGGGACAGCAGTAAAAAGAAACAATTCCTAGCAGAACAGAATTTAATTAATGGACATGGTCATGTAGACAAAACAGCAAAGAGAGAATTTGACTTGTTTCCAGTGAATATCTGGACAAATGCTTTTAACATAAGGAAACTGAAAGGAGTGGGAATTAAAAGAGAAGGCTCTAATTTGCTGATTAGTTTGGCCATCTCTGTGGGGTTAGAATTTCCATCACATCTCTAAAAGTAACTGTTTTCTTCAGATGTGCATTGAAGGATATTGACCTGTCCTAAACCACTTGATTTTTGAGACTCTGTTTTATAATTGGTGGCCTTAAGTTCCATTTATGCCAGGGGTGGAGATCAGGTTTTTTTCAAAGAAACACAAGGATGCATTTGAAACAGCATCTCCAATTAAATGATTCAGCAAATGTCGGTAAAAAATGGTAGCCATGTTTCCAGGTGATAGAAGTGCTTGTTAAACAGTTGCTCCTCTATAGTTACTTGAGATCAACGTGGAAAAAAATAAAGTATTTTTTTAATACTTGTATAATTTGTGTGAAACAATTGTATCTTTCACTCATGCATACCACATCCTAACTTTATGAAACACCGTGCAGGAAGTTTATATAAAATTAAGTCCCAGGTTAAAGTCACTTTTACACTGGGATGTGCTCTAAACTGAGATTGCATGAAACTGACATGTTATTATTGGCTCAAATAGTTTCCAACTCTACAGAAAACATCACCAGTCCTACTGGATAAAATCTTCATAAAAACTATAGCTGCTAGTTAATTTAAACTGTTAGTGCATAAAACAGAACTGAGGCACCACAAATACTCTGTCAAGGCACTTATTGCCTTTAGATTTCCACAGTGTAGCACAGATCACCGGGAATGACCTCCACAGCCAGGAACTACACTCCAGTTCTGCACTTGGGAAAAATAGGCCCATTCAACTCTGCAAGTCTTCTCTTCCTCACTGAAAAAGAAAAGAAAGAGGAGTCAGTCATGGCAATGGTAAAATGTGGATGGCAGGCTTGGCTTAACTGCTTTGGAAGGAGCTGAGAGATGTACTTTCTCATAGGAAAGAAACAGGATATTCAGCTTCTGAATTCCTGCTTTAAGCAGCAGGCACACCCTTACATAGTTTAAAATCATGGAAAGTAAGATGAGGTTTCTCTCCCTATGAGTTTTTAAGGTCAGAAGCTACTTTCAGCCTTATTCTACAGTCAGTTGTATTTCACAGTTTGTCTATGTAACTGGACTTTGGCCAATGCATCATCTGATGCTAACTGACGTAGAAACAGCAGGAGATGGATGCCGCAGTTTTTCCTTTGCTAGTTTTTCTCAGTCGCCTTTTCAAAATTAAAAAAAAAAAAATCAAAAAAATTTCTCATTTCTTATCCTAAACCTCTAGGTTCCAGTCCTCTGATCATAGTTAACACGGTCAAAGCAGTCTCATATCTAGTCTTAAAGCTGATTCACACCTCTGACAGCTACACTCACGACTTTTCAAGAAATGTGTGCAAAGAAAAACAAAAAAAAATTTATTGAGAGGATGTAGAAGTTAGCTCGTGAGGATGAATGTAAAAGCCTTCATAGTTGGTTCATACAGAACATCTTAGAGAACAGAAGCTATGGGACCAAAACCACATTCTGGTAGCATCAGCTGATGATAAGCAAGAATATTGGAATGGAGCACAAGGAGAGAGCTATTGCTGACAGGGAGGAAAATAAAGTTTTCCTGTACTTATACATTGTCCACATGTAGAGCTGAGATGCTATTGCCAGATGAATATGAGCTGCAAACAAGAACCAAATCAGACAAAAAATGCAGTTCTTAATGGCCAAAGAGGCAAAATGCACAGTTGTTAACATGGAAGGCGAGTTGTGAATTCATCTCCTTAACAGCAGGAACAATTAAAATATTAGATTTAAATCTTTCAGCTGATTACTTTGAATGCCAGGTGCTGCAGAGTCATTCAAAATCTTGCTCTGTTCCAAAGGATGGGAAATAGCAAGCCTTTGCCGGTGCAGCTCTCTAGTGACCAGGAATGCAGCCACAGGCAGAATAAATACACAGTGAACTGTAAGACTGAGTATTTTGTGTGATCCCTGAAGAACTGGCACATACCTCCGCTTGGCTGTGCTTCCTAGGAGCACAGGACCGGCTGACACAAGGTTTAGTTTTATTATTTGTGTTTAAAACACCACATATTTATAATCTGCCCTAATATGACAGCCGTTGAGTACAGCGTGATGGGTGTGTTAGCTGCATTCAAGTACTGCTCTGCTGGCCTGATCCCCAGAGCTCCACAGCAGCCTGTAGCCAAGCAATGGAAAACCTCTGCCACAAGCTTTGGCTGAAATGGCAGTTTGCGGACTTGCCCACATTTTGCTTCACAAGCACTTCTGATCACTTCATTGAGAGTATAAAGATAACTCAAAGCCACGTGACTTCCCACATCTCCCTAGAAACTGTTCCAGCTTGTTTCACTGAAGGGGATGGGCCAAATCCTACTGCCGTCCAAGTTCAACTCTACTACATTTCATCTCCTTGTTAAAGTGGGAATGAAGCTGGAGGAAGACAAGCAGTTGGCAGGAATCACAAGTGCTAGCAGCTCATAACCTGTGTGCCATATGCTGTAGCACAAGCTGTACCGAACCACATCAACAGCTCTCGCTCCTTTCCAACAACACTCACCGTCACTACAAAAAACGCTACCTCTTCTCAGAGTTTTAGCTGCTCAGTGTCTCCAAGTTTGGAGCACAACCCATTGCCTGGCTGACAGCAGCTGCATTGAGGAACCGGTTGGTGAAGGCTGCCTCCTTCCTTGAGGGCCAAAGCATCATCAGGCCCTTCAAGAGGTGGATTCTGATTCATACACATCTACCAGAGCTTTCATGTGAGCAGTTCTGCCCTAATCCCACCAGAAATTGCCCATAGGACCTTCCCATACTTCCTGGCTTGCAGTCAGCCTGACTCACCTAGGTCGTTGTTATTCATCATAGCGTTGGAGGCACGAAGCCGGGGACCTTGCTGAGTGAAATGGTACCCAAACTTCAGTAGGGTGGTGTTTTTTTCCAACATATTTGCGATTTCCATTTCTACTTTGTTGCCCAAGGGCTGGCTCTTTTGAAAATAGAAAACAAAAAAATCAAGCTGGTCACATCAGAGGGTGATTCAGAGTGAGCACTTAGATCATGTCCACCTCTTCCCTCCTTCTCTGGACCTGTTGGTTCATTTGACATTTCTGACTTGGAGCTGGTAAAACAAACAACTGGCCTGTTTCTGGTACAACTGAGTGTCTCCAACTCCTCCAGCAGACATTCTCACGAGGCTGTTTGCCCAAAGACTTTATTTCTTGGACAGATTAACAGCTAAGGGATGTCTGGAGAAACTAGGATTTTGAACTCCCAGTCACCTGTCCCTGAGCTCCACATAGCTCAGCTGCTTCAACCTGGATTTCTCAGGGAGCTAAACTTGCCACGGCATCTGCACACTCTACAGGTCTCCTTCTCTTTCTGTTGCATTTTAGGGAAAATTTCAGTTTTAATAAATAGACATTGTTATTTAAGCCTCCGTGAGAGCTCAGTGCAAGGCATGATATTGGACAGGCACATCACCGTTCTCCAGGGCAGCACCAGGAACATGGGAAGCTGCTTGCACTGCTGCAGCCTTTGTTTAATACTGTGGGTAGCAGCAGATACCACCCAGGAACTGCAGCAGAAACAGGAGGCTGAGAGCTGCCAGCCTCTACCCTGACCAGCCACTGAGTTCCCTCAGCCAGGACACGTTCCCTTGCCCAGAGCTGTCACTCGCCTTACCTGGTTGTCGATGCGCAGCTCTACCAGCGATGTGTTGCCCTGGAGCGCCTCGACAATAGCCAGGATACCTGACCCAGAAATGAAGTTAGATTCCACATTCAGGCTCTTCAACGTGCTATTGACCTTCAGCATTTCTGCCAGGGCCTGTGGGCAGAGGTGGGCAGGAAGAACTGGCAGTCAGACAGGCAGAGGCAGAGCACTCCAGGGCAGCAGGGGTTCAGCTCCCCTCACCTCCAAGAGGGCTCCAGGCGGGTCCTGCGTGCTGAGCAGTTTCACTGCCACCAGATGGAATTGCTCTGTGCAGAGTGAAGGGGCTTCCCCATGGCTGCAGGGGGATTCTTGGACATGAGCATGCTGGAGGCCACAGCAAAACCTCGTACAGACAAACCCTTGGGGCTACCCCAAAAGATGACATTCCCCACCAGCAGCTGCCCCGTGACAACCTCACGTGTCCCTCTTCTAAAGTCAGCATGGTGATGACAGGGATGCTGGACAGCATTGCCCTGCCTCCGTTCTGATTGGGTCCATGCCTGCCCTGCACAGAGTTGAGATGCTCCCCATTATAGCAGGTAGAGAGAGGAGCGTCTGTCTTGAACAAGGGGTTCTCAACATCCAAGGTGTCCTCCCAAGTGGCAGCACAACCATATTAATGACTTTTGCTTCCCTCAGAGGGTAAGACCAGAAGTGGGCTGGGATGCTCCCAACCCCCCTGACCTGATCAGATGATCTCATTTCTTACAAACTGTATGGGAAGATTTATCTATGGCATGAAAGAGAAGGAACAGAAGGTGATGCCTAAGTGGCAGGGCTGACCACAGCACTCGGCCCCACAGCTCCCCTAACCCTGCACAGTGCCCCTCGAGCCCTCAGGTAGCACCAGTGTTGCCTGCACAGGCTTCCTTCTCAGTCCAGAAAATAATGTGAGGGCAGTACTCACCCTCCAAAAAGGTTTTTTTCTAACAGGAAACTGGTGTGCACAAGTGTGTGTGGAGGTAAGTAGGGGTGACCTGGGTGAATAAGAGCAAAAAGTAGCTGTCACAGTGCTGGAGAAGTATGCAAAGATGCAGCCTGGAAGGTAGCATGAGGGCCACGCAGAACACTCAGCACCTCTCTGCATGCCCACTGATATTTAGGATCATGCACAGCAGCCAGAAAGACCCATTATCAACTACAGAGGCCACACGTGAGAGTCCTCCTTCTGCACACATCTGCACAAAGGAATATGAGAAAGAGCTGGAGCAGACATGTGCAAGGGGAGGAACAGGTGTGCACACAGCAGCACACAGCTTTGTACCAACAGAAAGAAACTTCCAGAGGGAGAGAGACAAACTACTTTTAGAAAATGCCACTGGGGAGTCAGTTCTTGTCTCATGCTCCTTTTCTGAGACATCCTTGAGGACAAATACGAGACTGAATGGGATTAAAGGACTGCGCCCTGAAATCTCTGTAGCTGAAAAATGAAGTGAAGGAACCAATGCCTGTCAGTTGCTGACTTTCACTAGTGCTCCTGAAACTGAAGCACCTGCACCAAATGCCAGAGGTGTGGAACGTGCCAAACACGACATAAGGTGCAGAACCAGTCAGTCAGTCAGTAACGCCAAAAACACCTTGCCTGAGGACAGCTCCTGTCACAACACTGAGATGATGAGCCCACAGTACTTACAAAAGCAACAGGATCATTGCTCCGTGTCCCAACTATACTGAACTTCTTCACATACGTGTTGTTCTTCAGCGCTTCCGCAAAAGCCTTTAAAGTCGGGATGGGAATATTCTGTGAAAAGAAATGCAGACAGCCTGTGTTAGGCCATCATCTATATGAAGGAATATGCAATACATTTAAAAGATACTTCTAATTTCTCATCAAGGTCAAATCACCAAATGCACCGAAGTAATTTCAGGAAGGGGTTGATAAGTTCTCTTGCTATAATCAGCGTGGTCTGAGGAGCATGGCAATGCCTTCATCCTGTGTCGTACTCTGCTAAAAGCTCATTGCCTTGATTTGAAGCCATGTCTCTGCTGTTTGATTTAATTGCCCAGAAACTCAGCTATGTAGGAACACAGGTGTTGTGGGGAGGTAACCAAGGTCTATGAGCCTACAGAGTAATGCTCCTGTGCTTCCTAGTACAAGGACAGCACTGAGTAGCATTCATGTCTTGTTCAGAAAAGTTCCACCTACAGGGCCTGATCTAGAAAGGCCTGAAAGGATCTCCTTGTAACACAAACCAGACACCTCTGACTGCTTATACAGCATCTTTCAGGCTAACATTTGCCATGCTAGGTCTCAGCAGAGAAAAAAAAATCCATGCTGCTCATTCTGTGTTCCTTCAAAATTAGTATTTTTCACTTATCAAGCACTTTAGATACCCTTTTCAAATGCACAAATTTTCAACTAACATTGTAAGTGGTATCCTCACCTTGGACTTCTTGCCACACCATTTGGATCCCACCATGTGGAATCACCATAACACAGAACCCAGCAGCTCACAATCTCCACTGTCACTCCTCCGTTCTCCAGACCATGTCTCAAAGTCATGAGTTCAACACACAAAAATAGTGCCTGCCTGCCTGCCTGCCAGACCCTCAGCCTTGTATCCTCAAGGGACAGGGTCACTAGCCAGAATCAAATAAATGAAAGTAAAAATATTTTTGTTACAGAAAAGTGCAGGTAGTATGGCAAAAATGTCTTTAATGTGCACATGCAGTTAACCATGTTCTTGCTGTTTGGCTATGCCATCATTCAACAGGCCCCATGGAACAAAAACTATATTTTTCAGTATGTGTGTGTGTCCCAAAGGCAACATAAGAAGTGGTGCTATGTCCTGATTTGCTTTCTACGAGAAGAAAAGAGCTCCACAGAAGGGATAGGTGGGAGATGGACAGGGCCACCTGCAAGAAGGGAGGTTTCTTCATATTTTCATGGCAAGTGTCAGGATTGTGAAGACTTTTTCCCCCCACCATTTTATAACACACATAAACAGCCCCTCCACCAAATACGCCTGACTGAATCATCAAAGAAACCTACAATGCCTTTAACCAGACAGTCTGGAGACGCGTCTCCCCAAATTTCCCTCAACACAGCTCCATTCTTCCAGGCACTTAAAGGAGTCCTTTTGCTACCAACCCCATGCCTTTGTCCCAGGTAACAATCCCTGTTGCCCACAGGGATGGGAAGCACTGGTGTTTCTTCTCGGGCTACACTCAGTGTTATGGTACAAACTGTGCAGCAAAACAGGCTTGGTCTCTGCCTTCTGTGTATCAGATGTTCCAGCCTGTTATTAAGAGAGAAGGCTAGAAAGGAGCAAATACCATAATATTGTTAAGGTTGACTTCCTCAAGATCAGGATCATTGCTTTGTATTCGTTTCAGAGTTTCCTCCACATCTGTCGAGTTTGGTTCCTCATCAGGAACTGGTTTGTACTGTGTGGGCTTAATCACACCTGCAAGTGAAAAGCAACACATATGAAAGCAAAAGCACCCTGAGCAGCAGTACCTTTTCTTTGGATATGTTTCTCCTCTTCCAAGAGCAGAGAAGGAAGCACGGGAGATGGAAGAATGACCTGACAAACCGACATGAGATGGGAGGCCCCTCCAGTGGGGGGAATCAGCACAGGACAGCCAGTGCCTGCTGCTATGTGCTTTCAAGGTCCAAATCTGGGTGACAGAGGACACACCGCTTCTATGGGGCTGTTCCCTGGGCTGTGCTAGCTCCCAAACAGCACCAGGGACGTGGCTGAGACCATGCTGGCTCTCACAAGGCAAGGATGCACCAGAGGTGGCCCCACCAATCACAGGCTGCTCTGGCATTCATGGCTCTAACCTTCAGCCTAAAAATAATTTCCACTTTGCCTCTGCTAGCAGCTTCAAAGCCAACTACTGCAGCCTGCTAACACTCTAAATCACTTACTGTTGAGCCCTTCTTTGTTCACGATGGTGCTGCTCCCCAGTGCCTCATAGTACTGCTGGTTACTCATCAAGGTGTGCATACCAAGGATGGCTATGATTAAAAAAAAGGAGAACATGACTTATTGCAGGCTCCAAAGCCCAGAAAAGACACATAGATGCTGTCTAGGATGGGAGTCCGTAGGATACTACCTTTCCCTGCACAAGCTTGGAACAACATGTAAAGGTGGGATGAAGCCCCCCCAGCTGTCATAAAATACAAAACAGGGCTCAAATGTGCTCCCTTGTTTATTCCAATGTAGCATGATTCATAGGGGAAGAGGAACATCATCTTGTGGACAACAAACAGACAAACAGTCCAGGCCTCCCAGTAGCCTACCTGACTTGGTAACACACAAAAATAGTGAGGAGAAGACGGTACAACACTCAAAAAAATGTGATTGGTAGGCTTTAATCCAAGGGGCCCAGTCCAGCAGGAGCAAGCACATTCTTGTCGCCCTTGCTTACCCAGGCATGTGCCACACACTGCACCAGCCCAGTCTGTGAAATGGGCTGTGCCCCACACAGAGCCAGACCGACGCCAAGGCAGCAACATATGAGGTGACTGTCACCTGAAGCGTGGCAAAGCACATCATGTTTTCACCCAAAAACAAGCCTGGGGTCGTGGTGTTGATCTTTGTACTCTTGGAAGTTGACATTGTGAGAAGCTAAAGCTCTGCTGGCTTGGTTGAAATGTAGAGAGTGATGGTGTGAACAAAACTCAAACACTGTAATAACCCAAAAGCATGCTACTCACAGAAAGACCAAGTTTGAAAATAAACTGACTTTTTAATCAACAATTTTTTTTTAATAGCTACATGATTTTCTAAAGAAAAATGCAGACACAAGAATACGTGTTAAAACAAACACATCTTGAACAAATCTTGACCTCCGGACAGACACAGTGGTCAAAATAATAAATTTCTCCCTAAAATTCAAGTATGCCACTACAAAGACACTTTGCTTTCCCATGAGCAGCTCCTCTTAGGCTTGATTGGCACTGATCTGTCACCATTTTCTCATTGCTTTGGCCAAGAAGTGCTGGAAGTTGCAGGACAAGGCTATCCTCAAAGCCCAGTACATGAATAACATCTGTTATGGTGACAGCTCATCATAACTCCAGGTATGGGTTGCACAGGCAGGACACCCGGCAGCAAAGTGTGTCAATGGACTTCCCCATGGCCACAGCATATCCCCAACTGGATCTCACAGAGCCAAGAAGCCTCCATTTGAAAGTCTGAGTGAGGTTGGGCACTTTGAGTCTGCTTGTTTGTATTTTAGCTGGCCCTTTTCTCTGTTGTGTTCCCACAGATGAAATTTTCAGGGGTGCAACACAGCTTGGAAAAGTAATTTGCAGGCTGTCCTCTTAGGACAGCTGGGACCAGTTCATCACTGGATGGGTGTAACCCAAAACTGTGTATTCTATAGCCTTCCATGCCATTTCCCAGAAACTGTTTTCAATAGACTATTTACACCCTCTGCCCAGAGCAGCCTGACTCCTCAGGCTATAAACTAGGTGTTAAGAGGCCTGCGAGATAGGAGGGTGCCTCCCTGTTCCTCACACCCTTTGTG